AACGTGTTCAACTCGATAGCTTACGATTGAGATATCGAGCTGAGCGCTCGAAGGGAAATTCCCCATATACGTACGGCCATGTGTTAATCTCTACTTACATGCTTTTTTACAGTGACCCACTCAGCATGTATTTTTCATGCTTTGTCGATATCAACTTATCCAAGTTCCAAATTTCACGCAAAGTCGGGAAAATATTCTGTGACATTTCTAAGCGAAGCGATGGAACAGTGGGAGAGCTTGTAATACAAAATTTAGCTCCACTGCCTCTTCATGCCATGCCAGAGTGGGATAGTGAACTCACCGATATAAGGTATGCACAAAATGGGATTTTTCATAAGAGAACAACCAAGGGGTACTATACCTCTAATGACTATGGAAAAAGTTTTAAGGGAGAGATAAAATCAAGGGGTTGGATCTTAAAGCAATAGACCGCACTCTTTTATCGGTTTACCGTCGTAATGACCAAAGCAAGACGTGAAGAGAAGACTCGAAATGTTTCTGAGTCACGAGCTGAAGGAAAAAAATTAATCCTTCTGCTAACTACAGGACAGGTTTGCATCGATGATGCTACCTTTATTTGATTCTAAAGAAGAGACATCTGCAAGTTAACTGTAGGCGCTGTCCTCCTGTATTTTATGTGTTACAAGAATGTTATGTTTTGATGTATTAATTTCCTCTCATTGTTGTCGCTGTTCTAGAATGCTCGGCAGAATGTTTCGCACTAAGCTTGATCTGGAACTGAAATTACGAAAAGATAGTGGGCCGCCGTTTTTTGACCTCAGAGAATCCATTGCAAACATTATACACGAGCACGTGAAGGAGCCTGAGGTAGGCATGCAGGAAACACATTTTCTCACTCTCATTTCTGATGCATACATTTAGAAATCAGAGTGTGGTTCACGTCATCCGTCAGTAGCATATTGGATAATCCTATATTCTTCTGAATGACTCCACGGCCTTAGCGAATTGCTATGGAGCAATTAAAAATTTAACATCGAAAGTGATCGGAGATTGCATTGGTTTTAGTTAACTTTTCTTTGAGATTCGACCATTCAAAAAAAAAAAAAACAATCGCGACTTGTTTGCCAGCGTTTTCTTGCACTTTGGAGTTGTTGCGTGCGAAAAAAGCGAGCGTTTGACGGTCTAGAATTTGTTTCAACTTCGTTTTGCTTTTTGGCTCTGGACAGTTCGAAAACCTCACACGCGAAGATGAAAGCGAAAAGTTGTGTTACTTTTTGGTGTGACATCGAATTTTTTTCTCTGTAAATCGTGCTTGCGCCTTTGAATTGTGAGGTTTGGAAGTTTGCCTTTTGAGTAACCAAGACAAGTTAAAGGGTGACCGCACCATTTTTGATGCAATAAAAGGGCTCATTCTTAATGGTCACAATCATTGTTCATTCTAGGGAACAGTTGCTCTGATTATATGTGGGCACATTTTGATGTAATTGTAATGATAGAAAGTTTTCGTTTCACGCCAAAGATTCCCAAGGTACATTACGTTGACGAACGCGGAATCGTCCAAGAACCATATGGCTCAGCGGAAGACATGCTGAAGAAGAAAGGCTTCGTTATCAAAGTGGAAAAACTGTTCAAGTGGA